TTATTTTTTAAATTCATTGATCATATTAAATTGATATAGATATAGGGGCAGACAGAAAGAGGAGGCAGAGAGAGGAAGAGAAAGGGGGCAGAAATCAAGAGAGAGGGGGCAGAGAGAGAGAGGAAGAGAGGGGCTGAGACATGAAGAGAGAGGGGACAGAGAGAGAGAGGAATTAAGAGAGAGAGAGTGAGACAGAGAGAGAGGAAGAGAGAGAGAGGACAGAGAGAGGAAGAAAGGGGGTAGAGAGAGATGAAAGAGAGGGACAAAGAGAGAACGTACGTTAGAGGAGAGGAGAGAGATGAAGAAAGAGAGGGAGACAGAGAGAAAAGGAGAAGGCAGAGAGAGAGAAAGAGGGACAGAGAGAGAGAGAGAGAGATGAAGACAGAGGGGCAGAGAAAAAGAAAGAAAGGGGCAGAGAGAGAGTGAGGGACAGAGCGAGGAAGAGAGAGGGGGACAGAGAAAGAGAGGGGCAGAGATAGAGAGAGATAGGGCAGCAAGAGGAAGAGAGAGGAGCAGAGAGAATAAGAGAGAGAGAGAGAGGGGCAGCGAGAGGGAAAGGGACAGAGAGAGAAAGATGGAGGGGAAGAGAGAGAGAAAGATGGAGGGGAGGAGAGAGAGGGGGACAGAGAGAAAGAGAGATGGCAGAGAGAGAAAGAGAGGGGCAGAGAGAGAGAGAGAGGGGGACAGCGAGAGGAAGAGAGAGGGGGCAGAGAGAGGAAGAGAGAGAGAGAGGGGGACAACGAGAGGAAGAGAGAAGGGACAGAGAGAGGAAGAGAGAGAGGGGGAGACAGAGAAAGAGCGAGGGGCAGAGAGATAAAGAGAGGTGCAGAGAGAGGGGGCAGAGAGAAAAAGAGGGAGGGGAATAGAGAGAGGAAGTGAGAGAGAGCTAGGGGACAGAGAAAGGAAAGAGAGAGGGGGTTGAGAGAGAAAGAGAAAGAAAGAGAGAGGGAAAAGGGAGACAGAGAGAATGTGGCGCCCTCTAGTGGTAAGCAGGAGCTGGTTCACTCGGCAGGTGCAACTCACACGTCCGTATATATAACAGCTACGTGGTGCATGCCATTTACAAAAATAAAGATAAATATCTGTAAGTGTAAGATAGCAGCTACGCGTAGTATGACGTATATGCCGGTGTGTGATACATGTAAGTATGAACGCGGAACTGCCTGCGCATCTCAACCACGACTGCAAATATAAAATGTAACTTATTACCTCCGCCAAACGGAATTGGAGGAGGTTTTGTTTTCGCTCTCGTGTGTTCGTGTGTTAGTGTGTTCGTGTGTTCGCGCGATCGATATTAGCGCGTCGAGTCGTATGGCATATGGCGTATGTCGTTG